GCACATATGTTTGAAACTCCTCCTCATAGAAATAATATCAGTCTAAAACAATGCCAAAAATCAGAATGATCTTAAAACAAGGCAGAAAGGAAAAGGTCATTTAACAAACCACATTTAGATTTCTTAATTTGTAGTGTTTACTAAAGATGAAGCATCACTTTTATTATTGCTCATTTCAGAGTTACTGATTTGAGTAAGCATAGAAACCAAACACAACACACTTAACCGCATACAAACACTTAATGACTAGAAGCTCCCTTTATGTATTATAAAAAATGTCCCTCTAACACTACTATTTTCTATTCTTTTGACTTGTTTAATTTTTGTTTTAAAAATGACCCTAAAGGTTTCTTGCTTTCTTCATTCTTGCTTTTGGAGTGATCTTTGTAGGTCGACCACTCCTGGGGAGGGAACAGTGGTCCTGAATCTCCCTCCATTTGTACACAGTCTGTCTGACTGTGGATTTGTGGAGTCCAAACTCTTTAGAGATGAGCAACAGCAACTCTTTTGTTTTGAGGTCCTCAGAGATCTTCTTTGTTCATGCCATGATTCACTTCCACAAACATGATCTGATAGATCCCTGTTCTTTAAATAAAACAGGGCACACACTGACACCTGATAGGCATCTCACTGATTAAAAACACCTCTGAACAGACAGACTCTAATTTTCACCTTCAAATTAACAGCTAATCCTAGAGATTCACATACTTTTGCCACTCACAGATATGCAATACTGGATCATTTTCCTGAATAAATGAATGACAAAGAACATATTTTTGTCTCATTTGTTTGATTGGGTTCTCCTTGTCTACTTTCAGCACTTGTGCAAAAATCTGATTATGTTTTGGGTCATATTTATGCAGAAATATAGACAATTCTAAAGGGTTCACAAACTTTCAAGCAAGACTGTATTAAATATTCAGTATTAATATAATATAACACTGCTGCTGGTCTTGGTGACATTTTTACAACCCTTAAAAACGTTTTACTTTTACTTTTAAACAGGATTATGACACATGCGTATTGGCTTAGAGTTTGGTTTAAAGTTTTGTGAACACATACGTAATTCAATCAGCGATGATTGAGAACCGTCTGATGCCTGAACATCTCTAATACTGACCTCAGGCCATCCTCATCGTCACAGTACATGTTCTTCCTCCCTGTTTGCTTATGCTTTGACACTTCTTTACAGCTGTGTAATTTATTTCATTAGAAAGCTCTGTCATTCCTTGTCTGTTCCACCTCATCCAGGCATCCATTTTTATTTCCATCTTCTTGTCTCCTTCCTTCTTGCTCTGAATAAACAACTTACCTCATCACCATTGCTGTGCCTCTGTTCTCTTGCTTGTCAAAGTGCCTCCTCGGAATTCAATTACCCAACTGTTGTTTTATGATGTTGTCTTGTCAGCTGATGACGGATTCATTATCTCATCACTCCGCTTGACAAGACTGTCACAACGCTCTCTTTGCCTTTTATTCCACTGCTCACGCTCAGCTTGCAAATGTATTCCTTCGCTCTTGTCTCCAGTCCTCCCTGTGTTCTCCACTGCCATCTGCTCCATGACTGAGCTCATCGTGCCCTCAGACTGCTGGAAAACACTGAAACCCCGCCATTGTAATCCTGTCAAAGGCTCCTTTCATTTTTTGCAGTAAAGGCCAGTTAACATCTGATATGACTAAATATTTATGCGCACGGCAGCAGAATACGGTAATCAGTTGTGTTTGTATTGTTAACTCAGCTCTGATCACACACACTTTGGTTTAGGTTAGTTTAGATTATTTTTTGCTTCTCCCAGGTTAAATTTTGCTATCTAATTTAGATTTTTATATATATATATATATACACACACAAACACACACACACACACACACATTTATTTATAAATATTAAAATTTTAATACATTTATATTTATTAACATTTATATTTCATATATAATATTGTATATATTTATAACATGCTGTTTTTTCATATATTTATATTTATTAATATTTATATTTTGGAAGGGAATAATAGAATTCATATGCATGTTTGAAAATTGCAGGTTTCCGTTTTTAAAATTAAAGTACGATTGTGTCGTGCCACCAGTTTGGCGCTCATGGTCATGTGTGATGTGATGATTCATATGCACTCCACCAGAGGTCAACAGGAAGAGGAAACGGGTCACACTTTTCTGTCTGTTTAGAAGTTACTGAATGAATCAGCAGTAAAGGATTCTCTTACTTACGTAATGCCTTTCCCTTAATCTGTGTGAATTTGACGAATAAACCTGCATCCATATTGGCACATATGTTTGAAACTCCTCCTCATAGAAATAATATCAGTCTAAAACAATGCCAAAAATCAGAATGATCTTAAAACAAGGCAGAAAGGAAAAGGTCATTTAACAAACCACATTTAGATTTCTTAATTTGTAGTGTTTACTAAAGATGAAGCATCACTTTTATTATTGCTCATTTCAGAGTTACTGATTTGAGTAAGCATAGAAACCAAACACAACACACTTAACCGCATACAAACACTTAATGACTAGAAGCTCCCTTTATGTATTATACTATAATTTGTTACATTTTTAGTAATTGTTTTTTTTTTATAAATTTCCTTTAGCAATTTTTATTTTATCATAATTTTTTCTATTATTATTTATTTTTATTTATTTTTTTTTTTCAGATAGTTATCCTAATATTTTTTTATATATTGTTTAATGTTTCTATTTTTTTTACATTTCTAATTGTCGCTACAATTTGGGTTTTTCATCTAATGTTTATATTTATAACAAATATTAAATATATTTATATAAATTATTTATAGCATTTAAAAAATGACAAGGCTTACAAATAAGTGAAATAAATATTCCTAGCATTAAACCACCGATTTGAAAAATAAAAGGAAGAAAATATAAAAAAAAATGTATGACAACGTGGTTTCACCAAGGAGTGAAGAATATGGGTTCAAATATATACAATTTTTTTTTTATTATTATTAAAATATAATATTATGTATTGTTAAATAATATATTTTAAATATATTATATGTTATATAACTTTTTGATTTATTTCTTGTCGTCGACAATTGACTAAAAGTTAATTTTGAACCGTAGAGATAGTTGTGTAAGATATAACATAGGCTTTTACTTAAATCTGGTGGAAAATCTTGGCAATTTCTCATATTTGTACAGTGCATTGAGAGATAAAAAGTAGTACATCAAAAGGCAATCCTTTCTATTCCTGTTACTTAACCCTCAGACAAGGTCATTTTGCTTTTCATAATGCATTATTCAGTCCTATCTTTACATCTCCTGGTTCATTATGTTTGTGGTGTTTCTCTCTGTTCTTTCAGAAATATTATGAATAAAGGGACTGTGGATTCATTTAGCATTAATTTGTTTGTTAGAAAATAAACGAACAAAAAAAAAAGCACGCTCTGGGAATAGATCTTGAAGCTGTGCACTTCTCTTGTCTTGGTTTGATAATGGCAGCGGGTTTGAAGTGAACATTCGCTGCAGGAGGTGTTTGAGAGGGAAAGGTTCGTTCACGGTGAGGGCAGGTTACTGGACTCTTCTTTCCTCACAGTCATCGTTCAGAGAGGAGTTTAAAACTCCAATTCAGAGGTGACCTTTTGAAACATCTGAATTTCCAGTTACATTTTGAATGCTGATATCAGGAAGAAAAGGACACAGCAATCTTAACACGGTCAAACTAACAGTTTTTGGAGGAAAAGTTGTTTTTGGATTGGAAAGTCCCTACTTGTATATAATACTGTTATATGTGTGTGTGTGTGTGTGTGTGGTTCAGGTATACGCTATATTATGGGGGCAAAATATCCTCATGAAGATGGCAATATCCAAAATGGGAACATTTTGTAGGTCCCCATGATGAAACAAGCTTATAAATCATACAGAATGAAGATTTTTGACAATCTAAATGTCGGTAGTTTTGTGTGATGGATAGGGTTAGCATTAGGGAATAGAAAATATAGTTTGGACAATATAAAAACCATTACGTATATGGAATATCCCCATAAAACATGGAAACTTAGTGTGTGTGTGTGTGTGTGTGTGTGTGTGTGTATGGTTTTCTCACCAAAGCATTTTTTTTTTTTAATCAAAAATACAGCAACAACACTAATATTGTGGGAATATTATTACAATGTAAAATAACTATTCTATTTTAATATATTTTAAAATGTAATATATTCTTGCGATGCAAAGCTGAATTTCCAGCATCATTACTCCAGTCTTGAGTGTCACATGATCCTGCAGAAATCCTGAAAATCCAAAGAATCCTGGGGAAATTTTTTTTTTTCAAAAATATTAAGCTGCACAACCGTTTTCAATTTCTTATTATTATCAATGTTGAAAATGTGGTTTTCTCACCAAAGCATTTATTTATTTTTTTATCAAAAATACAGCAACAACACTAATATTGTGGGAATATTATTACAATGTAAAATAACTATTCTATTTAAATATATTTTAAAATGTAATATATTCTTGCGATGCAAAGCTGAATTTCCAGCATCATTACTCCAGTCTTGAGTGTCACATGATCCTGCAGAAATCCTGAAAATCCAAAGAATCCTGGGGAAAAATTTTTTTTCAAAAATATTAAGCTGCACAACCGTTTTCAATTTCTTATTATTATCAATGTTGAAAATGGTCATGCTGCTTGATGTTTTTAAAAACATTCTTTCTCAGGATTCTTTGATGAATGTAAAGTTCAAATAAACAGCATTTATTCAAAATAAAAATATTTTGTAGCATTATTCATATATTTACTGTCAACTTTTGCTGCTTTGCCGAATAAGTGTAAAAAATAAATACAATTAAATAACACTTTTGAACATGCCAAAGTTTAGTTTAAATACCAAAATATATTTGTTAGAAATAATCAAATCAAGTGAATAGTCAGTAGTAACAGTTTTTCTCTGATTTCATTTCTGTCATGAAAAAAATGGTCTGCCATATTTTGTGATGTTCTTACTTTTGTGAACTATTCATAGGTTTATAACCCCATCAGACCTAAACCAGTGCAGAAAGATTCTCTGGAGACTGAATGTCAAAAATCATTAAAAAGTTGAACTTTTGACTCATCGGCGCATGTCCAAAGTGGCTGTGGCAACAAAGAAAGTCAAAATACTTTATTTCTATCAGACATTCAATGCAACTGAGTCAACGATAACTAGCTTTTGAAGCATTTGTCTTCAGTCTGTAAGAAACTTCTCTATTGTGTTTAATTGCAGGCAATGAGTTCGGCCATCCAGAATGGCTGGATTTTCCCCGAGTCGGCAACAATGAGAGTTATCATTACGCCCGCCGGCAGTTCAACCTCGTAGACACGGATCACCTGCGTTACTGGCAGCTGTACGCTTTCGACCGAGACATGAACCGCACGGAGGACAAGTACGGCTGGCTGGCTGCTTCCCCGGTGAGAGAAAAATAAATTTTCCCTCTCCTACTGTACCTTGTCTTTCTTCTCAGTTACACTTAATATTGCTTTCAGTTCTTCCTTTATCAGTCAAACTCGTAGTGCATATCACCACAGTTTGGCTATCTTTTTATCATCTTCCATGTTCTCAATCCGCCGTCTCTTTCTCATTCTATCTAACTCCCTTTGTCTGCAGGATAAAAGTGTTTATTTTCCATCACCAGACCATCTGCAGTTTCACTAAGGGTGCTTTCACACTAGCACCTTTGGTGCGCACCCGGGTTCGATTGATGTCAGAGTTCGGTTCGTTTGGATGATGTGAACGCTGTCTTCCGAACTCGGGTGCGCACCCGCGAACCGTACCCGAGTCCGCTTAAAAAGGGTGGTCTGAGGTTATGGTTCATGTGAACTCCGGTAGGGTTCGCTGCTGATGTGAACGCAAATCGTACCAAATCGCGGAAGTAAACCGCTATTAATGACGTATTATTTGATAACAAATATGTGTTTGTGTGTGTGTTTCACTCACTTTCCTGACGAGTCTGACTGACGCACTGAAAACAGAGAGCTGTATATCTCATTTCTATTCACCTTGAGCGTTCTTTAGAGCATTTGCAGTGCATTCGTAAGGCAGACGTAAGTGCCGTTATGTACCGAAGCTTTGTAAACAAAATGAACGGTTCAAAAAAGTAAATATATAAAAGTGCAGAGAGCAATGTTATGCATTTGCCGCCTTCTCCTGCGCCGTCGTTACTAAGCAATGGGGTAAACAGCTGCTGGATTGATGACGCAAACGAACCGCGGTTCGGATCCAAATAAAATAATATGAACGCAGTCCAGCGGGGGTAGGGGGAGGGGGCAGCAATCGAACTCGGGCTCGGACCAGGCAAGCGAACCAAGTGTGAAAGCACCCTAAAACATCAGTCTCTAACCAGCCCTGCAATCTCATTACTCATTTGCTTTTTAAACAAATTTCCACTCCATCAAATGGAAGATTGGAATATGAATTATTAGCTGAGGAAAGTAGTCCAGCTCGTAGATGTGATCGCAGCTTCTGCAGAAGCATGATGTTAAGAATGGACTGGTTTACTGCTGTCGGCCGTGAAGTAGCTTGTCTTAAAGAATGTTCTGGGTAAATACAACAAACTCTATTGTCAGGATCTGAGTCACGAATGACAGAACATAATTTCTCAGCTCAGAAGAAAAAAAAAAAACTTTTTTACGGTAATGCACTTGTTGGAAAAGGCATTCCAGGGGATTTAACTGAAATGAAAAGCTTGCATTTTTTTGTTAAAAGTGTACTGTACAAAAATGCTTGTTATTTGAGATTTAAAGTACAAATCGTCCTTTTGAAGTGGAACTACTTTTCTTGATGAATGAATTGAATGTGATTTCAAGTGGATGGAGTTTCTCTGAATGATTCAATCAGATTTCTTTCTGGTAGCTTTGCACGTGAAAATTTTACAAATATGTTTACTGAGTTTACAATGCCATGGCATGGCTGTAGTTTCGAAACAGTGTGAATTTTGATGTTTATCCCATTCCAGTGTCCTGAAGGTATTTTATTTATATATTAATTTATTTATGTACTATTGTAGTATTTATTCATATTTGAATTAGCTTTTATTTTTATACTTTCAGTTTTCATTTTATTTTTCGTTTACATTTTTATAATTTTGCTTTTGTCATTTCTGTTTATACAGTCTGATCAAACTGTGTAAATAGTAAGCGTTATTTTAGATATAATACTGCAATATATAAAATATGTAATGCATTGTTAATACAAAATACAAAAAAATAATAGATAAAATATATATCTAAATAAAATAAAGTATTAATTATTTTTTATTTTTTTTGTAATTTTGGTTTTGTCTTTTTTTTTTTTTAATAATTCTATTTAGTTTTAATTCATTTTGTGGCATTCCAGTGTAGATGTAGGACGTAGCCGTAGCGTAAGTTCCTGTGAGAAGTGATGAATGCGGAAGCGCAGAGGAGAGAGCAAAACAAAACACCGGTCACGAATTTCGATAAAAAGCCAAGAGGAGACAAAACACAGTTCTCGCGAGACTAGCATATTCTCACCGGAGCTTACTGTAACCCGGGTAACTTACTAGTGTTGGAGATTCATAGAGTGAGAATGTGTGACTAGATGTAATTTGCATAAGCCCTACCCCGCTCGTGATGATGGACTCTTCAGAGAGCCAATAAAAACTGATCCAGGTGCGATCAACATGCCCAACTCATGCGTCATTTTGTCAGCATGAACGAGAGAACGAGAACTAGGCCTACTGTTTTTTTCTTTGAGCGGAGCAGAAGAAATTAATGTGAGCAATTTCTAGAAATGTTCTGCATCATATTAGATTGCTAGAGAAAGTGAGAATAGTTAAAGAACTGGATCGTGTTGTGGGTTCGTCGATGTGATAGAGCTGTCGCTGAAACAGCGAGAGGATGAGAGGGTGATTCATGAGGAGGATTTGATCATCGCGCCGATTCAAGTATATATATAAAAGATATATATAAAAGTTTATATCAGTAGTCCTGTATTCATAATTGTAACCACATAGTCTGTTTACAACGTGTTTACATCTAAAAATGTCTTTATACAGTACGTGCATAACTTTTACTCTCTGCACAACTCTGTATACATTGCATTGATTTTAATAACTTTAATGTACTTGAATTGTGCACCAAACACTAGGAATACACAAGTATCGAATCGGGACACGGTATCGGCAGATACTCAATATTCAATGACTCGGATCAGATCGGAGACGCCAAAAACTTGATCTGGACATTCCTAATTATTTAATTAACAAAATGATTCCTAATAGTCATAGTTTTAGTTAAATCTTTCCCCGCCATTGACGAGTTATCTCGTCTTTTGCAAGAAAACGCTTCCCCGCCAAAGACCAGTTTTTACGACTTTTCGTGTTTTCACTGTTAAGCACTCGGGGCGCTATTACGCATCTTCTGAACGAGTACAAAATCTCCCGAACAAAAACACACGGGAACAGGACAGAGAAACGAGCGTTCTCTTATGTAAACAGATGCATATGAAAAATAATGGGATCATCAGCAAGAGACAGCATATAAATGAAAACTGCATAATGTTACAGAGTTAAATGTTGATCCAGGACGTGGTATATGTATGTGCAAGCTTTGGAGGTGTTGATTTACTAGATGTATGCTTTGATAATCGTACTGAATATTATCCAGATGTAGTTTTTGATACAAATGTGATTTTCTCACCTTTTTGCTCAAAATTATGGATTTTTATGAAGCCTACCTATATTCAAGTGTTGCTTTAAGCTAGAATAAAACAGATTTTTTTTTGTTTAAAAGTAGAGGCTCTGATCGTTATTCTGGTGTATTGCATATTCAAATATTCATACAACAACATATACTGGAGGCCATCAAATTTTAGTGAAAGTCATCAAAATCGCTGGCGGTGGCTGGCAACTTTTTTCAAAAATGCTGGCGGGGAAAGAGTTAAAGATAGCACTAGTGTCCTTCCCCATAAAGTTCCATTGTCTGTTCCTTTCAGGTGTGCTTGTGTCAGTCTGACCGGCAGCAAGGTGATCATGCAAATGAAGGGAATTGTCAGGGATTAGATGGCAGACAGTGTAAATGATTCACTGAAGATGATTCACTTTATCCTGTGATCCGCAGCCCATTTTACACCTGCCTCGCTTTATCTGTGTCTCACTTTGACCTTGCCACATTGTTTTAGAGATGAGGACTGAGATCATGTTTGAAAGAATAAGCAAGAAATGTCGTTTTTTTTTTTGAAGCTCAAATCAGATTTGACTTTCTGTGGTGCACAAATACATAAAGCATTTAAATGATAGAAAACAGCTTTTAAAATGTAACCCTGGACCATAAAACCAGTCTTAAGTCGCTGGGGTATATTTGTAGCTATAACCAAAAATACATTGTATGGGTCAAAATTATAGATTTATATATATTATATTATATATTTATTTATTATATGTTTCTTTTATGCCAAAAATCATTAGGATATTAAGTAAAGATCATGTTCCATGAAGATATTTACTGTTAAGCACTCGGGGCGCTATTACGCATCTTCTGAACGAGTACAAAATCTCCCGAACAAAAACACACGGGAACAGGACAGAGAAACGAGCGTTCTCTTATGTAAACAGATGCATATGAAAAATAATGGGATCATCAGCAAGAGACAGCATATAAATGAAAACTGCATAATGTTACAGAGTTAAATGTTGATCCAGGACGTGGTATATGTATGTGCAAGCTTTGGAGGTGTTGATTTACTAGATGTATGCTTTGATAATCGTACTGAATATTATCCAGATGTAGTTTTTGATACAAATGTGATTTTCTCACCTTTTTGCTCAAAATTATGGATTTTTATGAAGCCTACCTATATTCAAGTGTTGCTTTAAGCTAGAATAAAACAGATTTTTTTTTGTTTAAAAGTAGAGGCTCTGATCGTTATTCTGGTGTATTGCATATTCAAATATTCATACAACAACATATACTGGAGGCCATCAAATTTTAGTGAAAGTCATCAAAATCGCTGGCGGTGGCTGGCAACTTTTTTCAAAAATGCTGGCGGGGAAAGAGTTAAAGATAGCACTAGTGTCCTTCCCCATAAAGTTCCATTGTCTGTTCCTTTCAGGTGTGCTTGTGTCAGTCTGACCGGCAGCAAGGTGATCATGCAAATGAAGGGAATTGTCAGGGATTAGATGGCAGACAGTGTAAATGATTCACTGAAGATGATTCACTTTATCCTGTGATCCGCAGCCCATTTTACACCTGCCTCGCTTTATCTGTGTCTCACTTTGACCTTGCCACATTGTTTTAGAGATGAGGACTGAGATCATGTTTGAAAGAATAAGCAAGAAATGTCGTTTTTTTTTTTGAAGCTCAAATCAGATTTGACTTTCTGTGGTGCACAAATACATAAAGCATTTAAATGATAGAAAACAGCTTTTAAAATGTAACCCTGGACCATAAAACCA